AATACCACCGCCTTTCGTCTTGCCGGAGAGTGCTATGTCACGATCCGATCTTACAAGATGGAATCCTGCCAGTTGTAGTGCAGTGTCCGGAATCAAATCACACAGCCATGTCTCCGTGAAGCACAAAACAGAGGATGAAATAAAGTCTCTGTTTTTCACCATCAGTAGCTGAAGTTCGTCCATTTTGTTGCACAGTGAACGTACGTTGGAGAGGAAAAAGCTCGGAAGCACTGTTCGGATCCCGCGTCTGCGTAGCCGTACTAGAGCCCCCGACAGTCACATAGTCACTTTAAGATGTTTTCTTGTTCGTGTTTTTGTTTTTGGTTTGTTGTGGTTGCACCCGATTCAAGAGCCGAATAGCCGAATAGTATTAAATAATGATGGGAAAAGTGTTGTTAGAAATCACGTATTCGGACTGATACAAAACATGAGGAGACGATATGGCCAGATCCACACCCAGACACGTGTATCGCCAGTGCTGATGTTCATACACAACACCAAATTCTTATGTAAGACTGAGTCAACCGAGGGGAGGCCTTGGATACGTTCAGACACCATTGGTCAGTGATATATATATATTTCGATTTAAAGCTTTCGTGACTGCAGGGATTGATATTCTTGGTTCTTTCGGTAAAGTCACGTGACTTTACCGAAAGAACCAAGAAGATATTTATATTTCGCACTATGGCTGGGAATCAAACCCAGGTGACAAGGATTGTAGTTTCAGTGTGTGAACCAATGCATCGCAGCGATCACCACAACATGATGTACCACACGCCTGCACACAGCAGATTATCTAGCATTCAAAACAAAAGGCAGCCAAAACGTGTTGAGAATGAGAATTGAAATGGCACAGCTTATGTTGACGTTCCATATTCACGTACTACGTTGTAATTAACGACCACAATAGTCAATGCTAATTCATTGGCACATGCATTGAAAATAATAAACAGACCAGTGTGTGTTTAATTACAATTCCAAAAAACATAGTTGAATGGAAATATAAACGTATACCGTATACAAAAGTACCATGTACAACTTCGCACACGTGCCAATGCGTACATTTATATGACTCAACTGCCAAACAAATACACTGGCACCAGAAGATTTGCAGCATTAATGAAGGATTTCTTTGATAGACTAAATGAGTAACAATAACCTTTGCGCTAAAATAACACGCATTCGTGGATTTCACCAGCTTTAGATTGCATGCGGTCTAACATTTAGGCTGTATAATTAAATTTGCATGATACATTGTATTCCAGTTACAAAAAATATTTCAACTGCCGCATAGGCGAGGTTAATTATGGTAGGTATTTTGCACTTTATATATGATTTACATGTGTTCTAGATATTTAATGGGCGATCCTAGACATTTAATTTCTGAGGTAAAAATCGGAATCTTTCCTCTCCTGCTCTACAACATAATTCGGCGAAGCTCTTACGCCTTCCTCACCCAGTTTACTAACTGTTCATTATGTCCCAGATGCTATCTATAAGCCAAAGCATCCACTCAAAACTGTGACAGCCTAGACTTGACGTTACTATTTTGCAACTAGAGTTTTCATTGGACCGCAATATCAAGCAGTCTGTTTGATTGATGAACTAGCACTCGCCGTTTCACTCCAGTCAGTCACTCCGGTCACTCCAGTCACCCTCTCACCAGTCGTCAGTCACCTCCTTATTGCTCTTCTATCGCTATGATCAATGGTCGCTTTTGTGATGAACTCATTCACGCACATAAACTCCGGTCATCTTCGCAGCGGCTTTAGGCTGAGCCATCGAAAAAAGAGGGTCACCGCATCGCGCGCTTTCAAATGCGCTTCTCCGGCCGTCTGGAATGCTCTTCCTTCCAATATGAGGAAGAAGCCACTGGGGGCGATGCATTTTAAATTAATTTACATTGAAAACTGATTTCTTTAAAAGTGTGCTTTAGTATGTTTAATTTGTTGCCCTTCCCTCGTACCTTTGATAAGCACGGCTGGCTACGTATGGTGCGAAATAATTTCAACATGCATGAATTCCTCCACATGTTGAGGACCTGGGTATACTTGACTGTGTCCCCTCATCCATGCTGTGTTCAACCACTACACTGCAGGTCTATGCACTTATATTTGCTGCCTTTTCCCTAATACTGAAATTCCCCCCCCCCACCCCTTCCCCCCCCCCCCCCCCCCAAGTTCTCATAACCCCGCTCAACTCAATGAACGTATCGACTCCTATCTATTGCAGCGGTGTTTGGGTCTTTAGGCATCTAGCTCAGAAACCGGGATGATAAAAAAGAAAAGAAAATACCTCAGAACAAATGAACTCGAACCAAGGGAACTGTGGACGGCTGGGTCAGGAAAATAATGCCCTTGTCAGAGCACTGAGCTGAAAACACTAAGGTCTTGGGATCACATTTAATCTGTATTGCAGTGACCTATAACTGAACAAGGTTCTCCAGTGTAGTTGGTTTATGACTCAAGGTCACCAATGACAACACCATAATCACAACTGGTTGGATTATTTCGCCAATTTTGGCGCATTTCAGCTGAGTTGACAGACACGTGTCGAACATGGTCCACGGCGCGCGGAGGAGCGGGAGAAGCCTGCGGAATTCACTGTGGAAGTAATCCCTTGATCACATCCTCCAGGGCTGTTTTCCAGACATGATGTCACGCTCTGCTCACTGCAAGGATTCAGGACGGACAGTTTCTTTACCTCATTAGATGAGCTCCATACCAGAACCAAAGTGCAAATCAATATCACGATGTGAGTGTGGCCAAAGCCATTGATTGTAGCACACCTTCGCCAAACAAATGGTGACTATAATTGTTACAAGATGTGTACTGCATATATTTGTTTTCAATGTGGAGATCTGGACTGAAATGAATAAGAGTATGCTGCTAACAAGATATTACATTTGAGAGTGGCTACTTTAGATATTCCTCATTTTTCTTATTTCAATGCTTTGCAACTAACGGTGAACACGGGCATGCATTAGCTCCATCCGTCTCTCTCTCCATCTGGCTGTGACATGAGATCACGATAACTCTTGTACATGGAGGTGATCCAGTAGAAAATTTTAATGCATTGTGAAGTTTGTGGTGCTATCGGGGAGCTGACCCAGCCAAATACCGTCGACCAGAGCGTGTTCCAAATCTCGGCGATTAAAGAAACGATCGGAAAGCCTGCGGCCATGACGCCATCGCGATGCGTGGCTTGGAACGTGCAAAAACGCACGCTCTTCATTCATCGTTTTGAAATTCACGATTAAATGTAGTTTTTTCATGCCAAAGAGAATAATTATTCACAACATGCGCGTATCTTCATATTTTATTGAGACGCATATATATCAGATGCCCTCTGACAAGATCTACTTTCTGGAGCACGACCTGGTCACTGAATGGTTAATGATGTCGGGACAAAGCCTATTAAACAATGTATGTGCACTGTGATACATGGACTTAAGCGAGAAGCCTATGACAGCACCTCTGGCAAAACCTACTCAGCCTCATTATACTGTAGCAGCCAAGCCATTGTCGGCGATCACACAATTAATTTGGCCGGCTTGCATGAATAGTATGACACAAGGTATGATTAAAACACTCGTAATTATTACCGTAGTCTAGAAAAAAAAACATTTAAGGCATATAAGTGATTTTTATTTATGATCATGTTTGCTCTAAATGAGATTAATGTATAATTGCCATAGTTGTATCTGTACACACACGTGCCTGCACAATGCAACATTATTAATGTCAGAGGCACACAATGATAATCTGGGGAGGGTCATATTAATAAGGCATTACAAAAGCCCCCTACGTACAGGAATGGCAGGTAAGACAATTCATACACGTGTATCTGTGTGGACTGTGTTCCCTTAGTTATATACGGTGTCTGTTCCTTGTGAATACGTGAGTACGTACATTTATTTCGCCATACGCGAATAGGAGAACGTGTTCCCCCACTCCCCCTCAATATACAATGCTCTTTGCAAATGATGAACACGAGACATGTGTCCTGAAACCTCTTCTGCTTTTGTCGATTATAAAGGGTGTGTGTGATTTCTACTCCCATGCAGGAGCCAGTGGTAAAGCAATGGTTCATCATCCAACTGACATGTCAGGAACTTTTCATTTCCGTGTCTTAACACTTCACAAAAATGTAAATCATATATTTTTTTCATTCAAGGGATTTATACTGGGCAGTTTCATGGCCCTTGCACAAATACACATTCACATCTCAACTTGCAAGGTACGAGCCAATTTTAATATAAATTAGATTTTTCATACAACATTCAATTTTAAGATGCCACTACAGTTTTGTGTGATGCATCGGTGGAAGTGTGGCTGTGACTGTGTAACGGTAGTGGTGTGGTATTATCAAGCTAGCTTCTCTCGACTTTTGGAGGATTAACAACCTGCATAGAATATTTTTGTCAGTTTGAAAAAATACTCACGCAAGGGAAATGTGAATGTCAATTCACGTGAAAGAGAGGACTTTTAACATAATTTGTTAAAATAATACACCATAACAAAACAAAGTTTATTTAAAAACATTGCCCTTACAGAATTGACACGTGATAATATCGTTGAAATGCAATGAAGGCTGTATGTGTGTACAGGGACTCTACATACGAACGAGTTATGTTCCAGAGGTCTGTTCGTAAGTCGATTTGTTTGTGAGTCCAACTTTACTCCTGTCGATTCCAAACACGTTGTACGGCATGTACACTAAATACGGGGAATGGCTTTAAAAGTTGTATATTCTCCTGTAGATGTAGATGCCACTGGTTCTTCACGTTCTGCAGATGTAGTTGTCACCACCGCCATCTATTGCGTGGCGGTTGAACTTACGAATCTCGGCCCGAACAGCTAACTGGACATACGGGCAGGTTTGTTCGTATCTCTGAAAGTTCGTAAGTCGAATGTTCATAAGTAGAGGAGTCCCTGTATGTTGAACTTCTTTCACACCGTACGTAGCCAAGCGCGCTAATTGTAGGTGCGGATGCTCACCAGATACACCCGTGTAGTCCCACTCGTGCCTCACGTAAGCTTTCCTCTTCTCCTCCAGCGTTTGGCTGGGAATGAGCCCGGCACTGCCTCCATCCTTCACCTTCAGCGCCTGCCTCGCACAAAGCAGATCGCTCGTCAGAATCACAAGCAAGCTTGCTCCGTTTGCTACTGACAATGTGCACGTGGCTATGGGGTAAAGCGCCAGCCTGCTGACATCCGCGATTCAACACCATCTCATCATCATTCATCCGTCTGTCCATTCACCCATGCAGCCCGATTTGACTCAAGATGTACGTCTCAATAAGGATGATCCTGCTTATCTCAAAATGCAGGGTTTTGTATTCGATGTAGAAATGTATGTTGAACTTCTTTCGCACCGTACCTAGCCAACCGTGCTAATTGGAGTTGCCAATAGCTTGCTCATAAAACTAGCTAGCGTCACCTGTTCTGCAAGGATTCACAGTATAACAATAATTACTTAAGTAGGCTATTGGCAATATATTCAAAATTTGAAGCTTTCGTGACTGCAAGGATTCATACTCTTTGGTTTTATTCGGTAAAGTCACGTAGGTAAAACGAATTCAAATAAAATAAACAATTAAAAACGACGTTTCGGAGGCAACGTAAGTTTCCGTCTTCAGGTGGGACCAGTCACAGTTACCTACGTGACTTTACCGAATAAAACCAAAGAGTATTGGAAATATAGCCTATATCCGATATATAAGAAACAATTTAAAGAACGTAAATGTCTTTCTGCTCAAACACAGAGCAGTGTTCATGTCCTAAGTCCTGACCTCAATCCTAAATGGGGTTGTTGCGATGTATTTTTTCATGATACGATGCAATGTACATTTAATTATGAAAACTGTTTCCTGTAACGTACAATCGGAGTTCACAATTTTATTGTAATTTTTCTGCTCTTGCTGTACATCCGGTATGAAAAAATCTTGCTGAAAAGTTATTTAACTGGAATTAAATCAACATAATCATGTCATTGGTATTTTAGTCATTTGAACGTTACAGTCGACTGCACTTATAACACACACATTTTCAATCACACAATAAACATATGAACTACACAAACGAATACATGATATAACTGCTATGCCATCAATTATTCTAGAAGATGGGTTGGTGATTGTCATTTAAAACATATTTTTAAAGGAAATGTTTCAAAGAATTATACGAGGAACGATAATCATGCTACAATAAAATTTTGCAAAACGGATGATACAATTATTGTGGACCTGCTATCGTGCAATATATTGTAGTATCACCATATCTCAGCATCCATGGTCCTAAGCGAGTGGTGTAAGTTCCACTTATGTGTGGCAGGGGTTCGTATCTCTACAGTGGAATCACTTAGATATTGTGGCTCCACAAAAACTGTTAGAAATAAAAAAGACATTATCCTCTCTTGATGATTATTAAAAGGCTGTAAGCTGGCTAAAAAGTAAAAATGTTATTTCTAAGTTGCCGATAACCAACTAAGACATGTCCCTTTCTAGAGATATCGAAGGAAATTAAGGAAATGATTCAGGGTCATTTCAATGTTTAAACTCTGTCTTACCCAGCATTCTCTGCATTGCCTCACATTTTGTAGATAACATTTGCTTCATTGATGTCCAGACTCGTTGCAATGATTATTATGAATAGCTGTTCATTGCATCAGTTGTAGCTGCTGCTGTTTGAAGGGCACCTCCCTCATTGTGGCTTTAAGTAGGATGTTTTTGTACTGCCTCAATGATCCACACTAAATAAGTAATGAAAATGAAGTAAGTAGCTAAGTAGCAGTTTTCTCCAAATTCATATTTTTCATACATCGTAAATGTGGGATATAATTGTTGCTCATAAAAATATATGAGAAGGAATAATACGTTTATAACAGTGATTTATCTAGCCAAAGCCTTACTAAATATCATTACTTTTTCAGGCATGTACTGCTTTGGATAATTTTCAAATGCATAATTGAATTTTTTTTCGAACGTAAACAAAACTAAGATTTTCGAAGGCACTCGGTAAAGTCACGTAGAAGGGAAACAATAAAGAAAATATATATTTAGATATATTTTTATTATATATTTATATATTTTTTATTGTTTCCCTTCTACGTTACTTTACCGAAAGAACCAAGAATATGAACTCACACATATCAGGGGAATATTGTTCACATATCCAGAGTTAGGTCAGCAACCTGCTTCCTGTATAATTTTCCACGGGCTACTTTGTGGCCCTTGCAGGAAGCATGACCACACGTGCCAATCTCTGAGTGATCCACCAACCCCTCGTCCATAGCGTGGTATCCCAGCTTGTGTGTCACCATCCCAGAAAAAAAAATACGAGAAAAGTTCCACCCTCCCTCTTATACCCTTAAGCCGCCATCTAAATTGCATTTCACACAGATTTAGATGCACGGCTGTCTCGCTTTTTTGGTCTGCCCTGCCACCGAGATACATTCATGACCATTTCCGGGCTGTCTGGGCAAATGCATGCAGGTGACAGGTAGTAATCCCACCTGACAGGCATGTACATTCTAAATTCACAAATGCCATCTGCCACAAAATAAAAAAAAACACAACAACACACCACACGCACATGCAATTTACGGGGTACAAATACAACCGTGGAGACGATTGCCAATTCCGCAGAGGAACCCGACGTTTGAAGTTATTATTGAGTTATTGACTCCGTTATTGAATTTACTACTGGACTCCCCATGGCAATGCATAATGTAAAACCGAGGGAAATATCAGAGAGTCAAGTCTGGCAATTAAAATGTGGAATTGCCACAACTTATTAGTTGCGCATGACTTTTACTGTGTGAGACGTGCCTGTAGCTGGATACATGATGAGGCTGAAGTCCCGTCTTCAGTTGCCTAGGCATACAGTGAGGGGAAAAAAGTATTTGATCCCCTGCTGATTTTGTACGTTTGCCCACTGACAAAGAAATGAGCAGTCTATACTTTTAATGGTAGATTTATTTGAACAGTGAGAGACAGAATAACAACAACAAAATCCAGAAAAACGCATGTCAAAAATGTTATACATTGATTTGCATTTTAATGAGGGAAACAAGTATTTGACCCCTCTGCAAAACATGACTTAGTACTTGGTGGTTTGCACATATCTCAGGAGGGATTTTGTCCCACTCCTCTTTGCAGATCTTCTCCAAGTCATTAAGGTTTCGAGGCTGACGTTTGGCAACTTGAACCTTCAGCTCCCTCCACAGATTTTCTATGGGATTAAGGTCTGGAGACTGGCTAGGCCACTCCAGGACCTTAATGTGCTTCTTCTTGAGCCACTCCTTTGTTGCCTTGGCCGTGTGTTTTGGGTCATTGTCATGCTGGAATACCCATCCACGACCCATTTTCAATGCCCTGGCTGAGGGAAGGAGGTTCTCACCCAAGATTTGACGGTACATGGCTCCGTCCATCGTCCCTTTGATGCGGTGAAGATGTCCTGTCCCCTGAGCAGAAAAACACCCCCAAAGCATAATGTTTACACCTCCATGTTTGACGGTGGGGATGGTGTTCTTGGGTTCATAGGCAACATTCCTCCTCCTCCAAACACGGCGAGTTGAGTTGATGCCAAAGAGCTCCATTTTGGTCTCATCTGACCACAACACTTTCACCCAATTGTCCTCTGAATCATTCAGATGTTCATTGGCAAACTTAAGACGGGCATGTATATGTGCTTTCTTGAACAGGGGGACCTTGCGGGTGCTGCAGGATTTCAGTCCTTCACGGCATAGTGTGTTACCAATTGTTTTCTTGGTGACTATGGTCCCAGCTGCCTTGAGATCATTGACAAGATCCTCCCGTGTAGTTCTGGGCTGATTCCTCACCGTTCTCATGATCATTGCAACTCCACGAGGTGAGATCTTGCATGGAGCCCCAGGCCGAGGGAGATTGACAGTTCTTTTGTGTTTCTTCCATTTGCGAATAATCGCACCAACTGTTGTCACCTTCTCACCAAGCTGCTTGGCAATGGTCTTGTAGCCCATTCCAGCCTTGTGTAGGTCTACAATCTTGTCCCTGACATCCTTGGAGAGCTCTTTGGTCTTGGCCATGGTGGAGAGTTTGGAATCTGATTGATTGATTGCTTCTGTGGGCAGGTGTCTTTTATACAGGTAACATGCTGAGATGAGGAGCACTCCCTTTAAGAGTGTGCTCCTAATCTCAGCTCGTTACCTGTATAAAAGACACCTGGGAGCCAGAAATCTTTCTGATTGAGAGGGGGTCAAATACTTATTTCCCTCATTAAAATGCAAATCAATTTATAACATTTTTGACATGCGTTTTTCTGGATTTTGTTGTTGTTATTGTCTCTCACTGTTCAAATAAACCTACCATTAAAATTATAGACTGATCATTTCTTTGTCAGTGGGCAAACGTACAAAATCAGCAGGGGATCAATACGTTTTTCCCTCACTGTAGGCAACTGTAACCATAGTAAACATATCTGTCTTGACACGTGACACTGAGCCATGAGGCTGCCCTGTCACCGAATTTATACTTCCTGACACCACTGCACGATTTCAGCAGCCTAATTTCTTCTTGTTTTTTTTAAGCTTCCTTCCCCCCGTGAAGATGAAGAGGGCCCCCTGAGACTCCAGCAATAAGGCAGATGCTAGTGTTATCCGTGGGCATTTCTTCCAATAATGAACCCTTTTTTTTTCTTCATCACTCCCGAGCAATTGCACTAAATCTTAAGAATACCAAATAACCACATCTTAGTTTTAGCATAGGCAGCTCAGGAAAATGTACGGCTCTTAAACACGACTGCGTCAATATTTGCGGTTGTGCTGTCTATCTCCCCAAAGTGCCTTTTGGGTCACAGCACGTGTTGTTTAGAATGTGATGTCCGACAATTCACTCCACATACCAGGAGATTATTCAGAGACTGAATATCAAAGCTCTCGGCAGAATGTCGAACATCACTCTGAACAACGCGGAATGCTCAAACAGCTTTTAGCGCATGGTTGACGTTTCCCGTGAATGCCAAGCAAACTCGCACACGTGTCTCTTGCGAAGGTCCCACCTTTGTGCAGATATCAAGGGGACATTTACATGCGAGACGCAAGTTCGCTTGCGTCACGAGCGATGTGGA